GACGAGCCTTGCCTCCGCAGCACGCCACCATGCCGCTCCGCAGACCCCGCCGGGGACTCAGCCAGGCTGGAGTTTTCCCCAGCAAGCTCTCACGGCCCCAGGCCAGCCGAGGGGGGCTGATCCCCTTTTGCTGCTGCCCCTTCCCCAGCGGCAGGCCGAGCTGGCAGAAGGCAAAACCGGGGCGGGGGATAGAAGCCGCGGCCGCCACAAAAAAGCCAGGGCATCTGCTCCTCACCTCAGCTCTTACCTATGAGATCACGTGCCATCTCCTGATCCTCCTGCATCCGGCACACGTCGCTGAGCTGCAGAAGGGAGTCCACGTGGTACGGGTTCATCTGAAGCAGCAGCTACAGAAGAGCAGGAGCTCAGTTACACGATGGCACAAAAATCGCAGGTTCCCTGCGCGCTCCGCAAGCTCCGTAAGCGCGGCGGGGAGGCGAATGCCCTGACACCGCGCCTAAGAGAGAGGGGCTGCTCTTGCCCCCGGGTCTGAAGGCGAAGAAATCCTGTCCCACGCCGTCAGAGCGCCGATGCTCAGGCTGCAGCACAAGGCTGGGGATGCGTTTCACGTGAAAGTCTGAAACTACAGATTAAAAGAACCTGGGAATGGTCATGCCGGGTCAGAGCAGCGGTCCGCCTCGCCCTGCCTCCAAAAGCAGAGGCCCGGGAAAGAGGGCACGAAGTTGGGCGCGCACGATGACTCCCAGCACACCCTAAGCTGCCAACCTTTAGGGGTTCAGGGACCCCCACCATCAAAGATGCCACTGATATTAATGGCGTCCCCTCCCGTGAATTTGTTCGCTTACTGACCCCGGTACCTTTCCGGCACCCCAGCTCTGCCATACGGAGAGCCACCGCTTAAGCACACAACGCAAAGAACTTCCTTTCATCCTGCCCTGCCAGCTTCATCCCTGCGTTGGAAGGGAGGGCAGGGAGATCTCTCCCCACCCCACGCAGGATCCGAGCCCTCGATCGCAGCTTCCCCCAGGCACCTCCTTCCCAGCTGACCCAGCTTTTCCAGGGCTGAGGCCATGCCAGGCCTTTGATCATCTTTGCTGCCCTCCTCCGAATCTCTCCCAGCTCCCCCATATCCTTTTGAAGGTGAGGGCCCAGAACCGCGCACAATATTCAAAATGCAGGCAGCAGGCAAGATTACATTTTTGGTTTATTCTCTATCCCTTAACAATTCTGAGCATTTGATCAGGCTTTTGCTTCCTCCGGGTACTGAGAGGACATTTTGACACATCCATTACAATTCCAGGATCCAGCTCCTGAATGGTAATAGATTTAATTTTTTTTTTTTTTTTCCAGGCTTCAGAATAGAAGTTTAACAACACCTCAGAAACCTCCGCATTCACTAATTATATTATAAATGCGCTGCTTTTTCCAAGTACCTGAAACTCGGCTTCAATATGAAAATACTGAAGCGACTTCAAATCTCCTTACGGTTTAGTTTGGGGATTTTTTCCCCCTGCCCCAAGCAGAAAAATACGGCTTCAAAAGCTCCAGAAGCCATGCATCTGCAGGGTGCTGGCTGGTGTGACCACCTGCGGTACAAAGCCTTTACGTTCCAGGCTGTCCCAGCCCAGCGCCTTTGCCTTGGTGCCACTTGGCTGACGTTTTACCCCTTCCTTGCTCTCAAGTTCTGTTCTAGCTCACATTTTTGGAAGAGATGGAGCACCCATGGTCAACTGTGACGGGGAAAAAGCGCTCTTCACGCACTTACAACTTCACCAGCAAGTCCCTTTTAACACACTAGCAAGAGCAGAAAAACACTCACTGAGCAGGACCCCCAAAAAAATCATGTTTTGCGTGCTGAAACCACAGCAGCAAGGCAGATCCGGGCTCCAGCTACATGAAACTGCAGCTGTCACAGATAAACTGGTTGGGGGTTTGAAGTACTTCTGGCACAGGCGAACCCCTGTCTGTTAGATTTTACCCTTAAGATAAAACCAAAAGCCTAAAGATGTTAGGAATATCTTCAAACACAGCCAGACCCACTTAACAGGGACAGAGCGTAAAGACTAAAATGTACCATGGAAAACCCGTCCCGCTCTGCATGGCCGCATGAGACCGTGTTTGAGCTGTCGTTAGGACGCTGGCTCTCAGGGCGATCACCGCTGCACAGGAACGACCTCGCATCATTTAATGCGAATCCCTCGGGCCGGTCAGAGGGCAGAACTGATGAGCTGGAGAGAGCAGCGGCCACGAGCAGAGGGTAGGAAAGTAGAAGGAAGTAAACTTTATTTAGTGGACAATGGCCTCTTTAAGAAACTTCTCCAGGTCATGTATCCCAGCTCATGTGGCCAGGGTTTTCAGAGAAAAAAATACCTCAATTATGGTTCAGTAGGGTGCAGAGCAATTTTACTGTTGCTTACCACTACAAACTATAAATGTTACCCGTTTAATGAGCTTGGACACGCATGAAGAGCTCTCAACACAAAGACTGTTTTGCTGAAATGCCAAGAAAAGACACATTTTTCATCCATGCCAGGGTTTATAAATAGAACAGATGTTAGTTTAGATTCCCATTTAAAGATCGGTTTACACAATATTTTTCCTTTCCCAGCTGAAGAGCTGAGACAAGGGAGCTTTATTCCTACCCTTTCAGCCAAACGGCCAGTTCCTGCGGGCCGCGCTTCCAGATGGCTACCTGGCACACTCTCGGGCAGAGCCACCAAGGCCGGCCACCAGCCCCCGGACCTCATTTGCACCGAGGCGGTCGCTTATCTCATGAACAAGGTGAAAGCAGAACTCAGTAAGCAACGCTGCCTTGCCCCACGTAGAGGGAGCACAGGGCTCTACCGCTCAAAATGAGACCGGCAAAAAAAAATAAGCATGGGGATGCCTCAGCCCACCTCCCCTGCCAGGGAAAGGGGCTGCGGGGACGCAGGAGGGAACAGCGCGGGCAACCCGATTTCACAACATACCACAATGTTGTTGGGGTCCATGGACTCTACAGCGTCCAGGAACTTGAACTGCACTTGCTGGTACTCGCGATGGTGCTCGAAGGTGAAGTACTGCACTCCCCTCCTGGTGTCCAGCAGCTGCATGGCAATGCCTAGAGGGTGTGGGGGAGACGTGGGTATCGCCGCTGCCAGCCCGCGGGCACAGCGGCAAGAGGAGCTCTTCCGCTTTCTTAGAATCATAGAATTGTTTAGGTTGGAAAAGACTTTTAAGATCATCCAGTCCAACCATTAACCTAACACTGCCAAGTCCACCACTAAACCAGTTAAGGGGAGAGTAGTAATTCCATGTTTCCTGGCTTGGTGGCTGGATTTTTTTTTAATGAAAGTAAAAACTAAGAATCACTAAGGTTGGAAAGGACCTCTAAGCTCATCAGTCCAGCCATCAACCCAACACCACCGTGCCCATGCCTTATAACACAGAAAGCTCATTCGCACCCCTGGGTCCAAAGCCAGACATGTTTTCGGAAACTCCAGGAGAATTTCACTCCTTTCCCTCCTGCCATGAGTCAAAGTCTGCAACCCACCCGAGAAGCCCAGGCAGCTTGCTCTCCCCATGGATATTTCCCATTATCCAGCAAGACTGCTGGAAGAGGGGAAGTAGTCATCACCTGCTACCTCCAAAAAGGGGGATAAAAAATAAAAAAGCTCAGATGCTAAGGTACGATACAACAGAGTTCTCCCTCTTGAGAAAGGAGGTATTTCCATCAGCTGACGAGCAGTTCCCTTTCCGCATCAGCCAGCCCCAAATCTGCCCAGAGAGGTGGTGGAGTCACCACCCCTGGAAGCATTCAAAAAACGGGCAGAGGTGGCACTTGGGGACATGGTTTAGTCTACTCTACTCTTGATTGGTTTAGTGTGGACTTGGTAGTGTAGGTTAATGGTTGGACTGGATGATCTTAAAGGTCTTTTCCAACCTAAACCATTCTATGATTCTATTCTAAGTCCGGGCCTAGCAGCTGACGAAAGCAGCTCCAGTTTCCGTGCGCGGAGGCTCTAGGACGTGCCCCATTGGCTAGCGGCAGCGCGGTGCTTCGGGAGGTGGCACCGAAAGCCTCACCTGTTTTGCTGTAGCGCGGCCAGGTGTTCTTGGGAGCTGTCAGCCACGTGCTGCGGACGTACTGACGCTGCCTTTGTCTTGGCCTGAGGAAATAAATGCGAGAGGTCACAGTTTCTCTGTGCTAAACAGAGTGAGGAGGGCTGAAACCAGCCAGAAAAAGGATGATTCAGAGGGGAAAAAAAAAAAGAAAAAAAAAAGAGAGAGAGAGAGAGAGAGATCCAGCTTCTTCCCCAGCTGCTGCCCTGCCACACAGAGCTTTTGCACAGAGCTTTAACATGTTTGCCTTCAAGACACAACATACCTTCGCTGAGGCTCTGCCTTACTTCAACCATTCCTCTCCGGGCCAGCCAGTGCCTCCAGCATTTCCACTTCAATAGCTTCTCTCCCATTTCTATTCCTGCCAAGTTCTCAGCTGCCTCTGCTTCAAACAGCTTCCCAGATCCAATTAAGAGAACCCCATACCCTCTGACTCATCTCTCTTCCCCAAAGTGCCCTCAAAAATCAACTGATTTAGTTTTAGCCGTGCTCACAAATGCAACACATTTATTGGTTCAGGGCAGGAGGAATTCAGAAATCAAGGCCAGTCTAAGAAAGTCACGTCTCCTCAGTGAGGGAGTGCTGCTTCTTCCTCAAAAGCACTAAATATTATTCCACGGGCTCTCTCAGAGAAGGCTTCCACTTCCACCACCGCTGCTCGGAGCTTATACCCTTCTCATGTGCACATTTTTCAACCAGCTCACAAAAGCAGGGATTTCTGGATAACACTGACGACAGCGCAAAGGGTAAGTGCATAGAGACCTCACACCCAAGCAGCAGGAGGTTCCCTGGGCCCCTGAAAGCAAGCGCATGAGACCCTCTGGAAAGTATTCAGGGTCCACTCTGTAAGACATCAGAGACTTTGGAATAGCAACAAGTGAGAAATGCTGGAGAAAGGAAAAAAAAAAAAAAAGAAAAAAATCTAAGAGTCTATAGGAATTTGAATGGAAGGCCTTTAGAAGGGTGTTTGACAGTATATGAGAGGGGAAATCAGCAGAAGAAAAAGCAAACACTAGAAAAAGCCTGGAGAAGTCTTACTCTCCTCCCTCACTCATATCAAAAAAATATTCCCCTGTCCCAACAAGTAAAAACTACAGAGTAGGACAGCCTGAACCCTGCATTCCCTGCCCAGGTGTAGCACTGCGGGCTCGGTAAGCTGTACAAGTCCACCAACTTGGACTTTGAAAGGGTTTAATACTAAATTCTAGACTAACCTCTGATCACCAAGAACAGCGCGAGCCCCAAAGTATCTCTTCAACTCGTTCTCCGGATTCAAGTTTCTGGGAAGGTTGAAACAAGAAAGAAAAGCTACCGTCAGTTAAACACAGCCGAAAGTCTCACGCTCCAGTCTTCCCCATCAGTGCCAAGCGTTCTGCACCTTGAACTGTCTCTGGCCAAGCCCCCGAACTGTCGCACACGCCACTGATCTGACACAAGAAACCGAAAGGAGCCTAAAAACGGTCAGAACAGGAGGCATCGAAACCCTTGTTCCATCAGATGCGCGCTTCCCTCATGCTCTGCTCCTAAAGGCGCTGAGCAGGGGAACGCTGCTGCTGCCCTCTCCAGGCAGCTGGGGCCTTAGGCCGGGATGCTGCCGGGACAGCCGCCGCGCAGGAGCGCACGCGTGCCCGGAAAACGCGGGATACCTGCTGCCGAGTCCAGCAGCGGCAGCCTGCAATTCAGGGCAGGCCCCACAATCGCTGCACAGAGGCTGGCAAGGACTAAACTATTTTTTTTTAATACAAAAAGCACGACAACACCTACAGTTTTTTTGATCTAGCATTTGGGCCAGAGAAGGGAGGCGTATTCGAGAGGGGTTTCTCTCTGCCACCCAGCAAGCGGGGCTTGAAGAGAGGGAGTGGGAAGGCTGAGATCCAGCACTGCCAACTCTCACCCACTCAGAGATTATGCAGCTCCCAAAGGTTTCTGAATAACGTTTACTTGACCAGAGATGTCACTGAGGTTTAAAGCCACCTCTAGATAAACAAACATTCCTGCCTTTACTGAAGTGTCCCTGAACAGGCTGCGCTAGCGCCGAGCGCCCACCAGCCCAGACTCACTTTTGACATTTCAAAACCTGGACTGGTTAAGTTGTCCCAGCTACAAGTTTAAATGGTTTCTCCAGAAACAGAAAGAGCTGCTAGCGTCTGCACCAGCCCAGGGCTCCGAAACACACTGGACCCACCAGCTGGCCTGTTCCCAACGGGCCCAGATGTTACAGGTCTCAAGTCCAAGGCCGATTCGTTCTCCAGCTCTTGGACACACTTGGCGCTTAGTCCACTTTGTTGATGGTGATGTGCAGGAAAGGTTAGACAAGTCTAACCAGTTTTCCTGGTGAAATTAGCTCCTGGCACTGCTCAGCCCTCCTGGGAGGATAGCACATGCTATACCTGGGCTTGCTGCTCACAGCACCTGGCCGGAATGCAGCCGCTCGCCCGGCCAGGCGAGTTTGATCGCAAAGCTTTACGCACCAGCGCTCTCAGTAGCTCTGCGGAGATTCTCCTACAGAGTCACAGAGTATTTTAGGCTGGAAGACACCTCTGGAGGTTAATCTAGTCCAGACACCCACTCAAACCAGGCACGACGGCAGAGAATGCCAGTCACCGCTCAAAAGCGAACACAGCTCTAAGAACCATGGTTAGAAACGGGGCTGTGCACAACCATTACCACAACCCCTTTCAAGCAAGGTCCTGAATTCACTGCCAGATCAGGCCGACAGGCTCCCAGCTCCCTTCCTCGGGGGAACAGATACCCCTGTCATGCCCAAGGCCAAAATCAGGAAGGAAGCAAGCACTACCTGTGCTCTACGTAGAGCAGCGGCCTGCTGTCGGCGATTATTCCGCTCTGGGTTTGCTGCGATAGCCCATTGGTATCCTCAATCTTCTCCAGCAGGCTGTCGATGTCTTCCAGGTCGTCGTCTTCCTTAAGATAGGCACAGGCAAACACAAGGCAGTTATTACAGAACGCGGCACGCAGGTTACCCAGCGGAGATGGCACCCGGCCGCCTCCGGGTCCTTCGGCTCGTCCCGATCTCCGTGCGATACCAGTGCAGCCCCTACTCCTCGCCCTGCTGCTACCCCATGGCCCACCTCGGGTGCGCGCATTCCGTGTCTTATTGAGGCCTCCTGCTCTGCGCCCAGCGCCCTTTATTCCCTCGGGAATCCCACCCAGAGCCTGCCTTCCCTGTCCAACCACCCGCGAAGGGGCTGGTTGCTGTCCTCTGCTTGCTCAAGGTATCGCGATAGCATGAAGTGGCTCTTCATCACGAGTCCGACCACGCCAGCACAATACATCCAGCGTGGGCAAGAGCTGGCCGCAGGACTCCTTTCCGGCCTTACACAAAGCTCGCAAGTCTGCGTGAGCCTGGTCTGCGCCCCTCCCCACCCACCCTTCGCTCTGCTTTGTCTGGTTTAGTTATGCTACAATCCCTGTAATACCACGAAATGTCGGCGCGCTAATTTTAACGATAAATATTTAAATAATCAGCCTTTACTGTCTGCTTTCCACGGAATCGCTAATTACTGCTGTGACCCTTGTAATAAGACATCAAACACCCAGCTCTAACGTATCGCACTCTCACTTTCCCACCTTCTAACAACCCAAGAAGAACATATCCAGCAGCGCACACTCAACGGTTGTGTAACGCTTTTATCGCAATTTTGCTCTACTCTTCCCCACAAATAGCAAGTGATGCATGTCTTACACGGCCGTTTCGCATCCTCCTCATGATGCACGTGGGTGGAACACGGAATTCCATTCACAACACCCAAATAGCACTGCGAGCTTGCCTTTTCCAGTTAAATATAGCTACTCCACGTGGAGTGGATATGTGAAAAGTTCCTAGTGTGCTTTGCATTTCAGTGCTTGAACAAAGGTAGCGTTGTCTCTAGCTAGCAAACCAAACTGCCTGGTCCTGGGTACGAAGTCTCCCTAGAGACCTACAGCTGGCAGATGCCACCCTATTGTGCGCTATTCTCTGACCGGGAGAGGAAACGTGCTCTTTGAGGGCATTCTCTGCCTCAGTCGCTCGCTCTGAGCTCGCCCAGCTGAATTCCCGGGGAGGAGGCAGCCAGCCGGGCACCCAAACCGGAGTCATGGCTCATCCATTCGGCACACTGTAGCTGCGGATGCTTGGCAAAGGATCTCCCCCAAGCGAACAGTTACGACTCTTAAACCTTAGCAGAAAACTAGCTCCCGCTTGAACTTTACTTCTATTGAATTTAAAAGACCAATGACCGTAATCTGTTTACTTTCCTAGCCTAGCTCAAGCAGACAAAGGATATTCAAGCACATATATTTGTCTCTCATAGTTTTATCTGCAACAAACATAGACATTGGATAAAGTTCTCGCTCCGAGCACACTTCCTTAGGGGCAGACAGCTTAGAGAGAATCGCCGTCCCCTTGCTCCCTTCACCACCGAGGGGACGGAGCAGGTCCCACAGGAAGAGTGCTGGGCAGCGCATGTGCCGACGACGCACCAGCGTTTGGCTATTAGATGTCAAGCCACATAGAAGGTGCGCGGCTGCGCACGGAGGAGAAGGCAATGCGAACGGTTCTCTGCTCTCTGCAGAGCCCCGAGAGCTACCTAAGTAGGGCAAGGAAAATATTACGAAAATGCAAAAACCGTCACGCAGGACCCCCTCCCGTGCGAAGCCTCGAAGCAGAGATGAAAGCGGATGCCGCTGTCAGGATTTCAGCTCTAAGCACCTGCAGCAGAGCTGCGCCAGTTCTGGCCGCTTGAAGGACCGCAGTCAAAAGCTGCTGTTGCTGTTTCGTAATTTTAAATGAGTACAACGCAAAAAGGAGCATGTTTGCCTCAAAAATCTTTTCCGCAGCCACCTGAGTAGCTGCTTCGTCAACCCCAATACAGAAATTAGCACAGCTGCTAACTCTCAGAGCAAACGCAGACATACCAGAGCGTCTCCTGCTGAGGTTTTCTTGGTTTTCCTTTTCTTTTTTTTCTTTCGTGGCTTGTTACTCAACACAGGCTGCAAAGAGAAACGGAACGGCTGTCAGAGCGTGCCCACGGACCGCAGGGATGAAAGCTCCACGGGGGAGAAGAGCATTTCCCGCAGGGGTCAGCGTGCCAGGAGAGCCCTTCAGTGAAGCCCACATCCATCCTCTCAAGTCTGTCAGCAAGCGGAAATTAAGACACAAGGAGAAAATGGAGGAAAGCACCAAAAGGTTTACAAACGTAAGGGTTAAATCTCGCCTTTCATATCAATGTCCAAGACTACAAAACCAGGCAAGAAACAGTTTAGATATGCCAGGTGTGGAAGAAACACTTCAGCCCTCCTTCACCCCCCTGAATAAACTGTATTTTTGTCTTTCTAGCGACCATGGCAGTTTCATCAGTCCCTCCAATTTCCACAGAAACCAACAGCTGCCCGAAAGCACCACGTGACACAGGCTCCTCTCGCTGCCTACTTCAGCTTACGAAGCTGCGTGGCATTGCCTAATGCGAGAGACCACGCCGCCGTCCACGCCAGCTGTTCCCCAGGGCATACAGAGCTAAAGAGCACATTTCCAGGACCTACGCAGGTAAAGCAGCGAGTAACGGCGTTACCAGAACAACCCCACAGCTCCTGAGCTGATTTCGGAACCAGGAGAACGTGCAGCCCCGATTTGGCTCTACCAAACGGCGGGGAGACGCCTGCCAAGGGCCCCAAGAGAAGCAGCGGGTGCAGCCTGCAGTGTCCACACAGCAAATTCACCGGGTCAGGGCCTGCTGGAGGCACCGCTCATGCGGGCACCGACCGAGCAGAGCCCTCACCGCACATCCCGAGCATTCCCAAGCCCCTGGGCTGGCTGAGGCCAGCGGCACAGCTGGGCTGCGCGCAGAGAGCGGTCTCCGCTCCTCTGGCCACGCCGCCTGGCACCCAAAACCCAGGGGAAACACCCCAAACGCTGAGCCCTAGCGGGTGAGGCCAGGGGGCCGATCCCCCTTCACTCCCCCCATCCTCATCTCCACTTATGACTTGCAGTATCAAATTGTTAACTAAAGCGTCCCTTTCCTTACGCACTTCTGTAACGAGATGCTTCTGAGCTGACACAGACAAAATCCTAACGCAAAACAACAACAAAACGCTCAAAAAAAGAACAAGTTCAGTGTTTAGTTTATGTTGCTCAGAGTCTTCGCATCACCCGCTCCGAAACAACCGCTTCACTGAGCATCTACCTGCCAGCCCAGCCCCCCCGTATGGTGCAGAGCTCAGTTAATTGTGCAGCCAAGGGAGCAGAGAAGCAATCTCCGTTTCAGAATCCCAGGGCGCTTCCCTCGCTGCGCGCTTTGCCGGACCTCAGCACTTGCAAGGACGCAGCACGAGGTCTTCCTCAGGAACCTCCTCTCTGCGGCTGTAAAATCTCCCTGGTCCCAGTCACAAACCCAACTCTAGCACCAAACTGCTCATTCTCCTCCAGATCTGGAGCCCCAAGTCCCTGGGCATCAGCTCCCTGCGTGCGTCCCTCCCCTGAGGCTCACGGCCCCAGCTTCTGACAAATCGCACGCGCAAGGGAAAGGAAACGTGCTTGCCTGGCACCACGAAGCTCCTCAGCGCACGCAGAGACAGGGAGGTAAGAAAACTTCTCTCTGCGCCTCGCACAGCGACCGCCAGCGTCACGAGATACCCGAGGTTTAGTTACCGTTCGGTCCGGCTGCTCTGCCTCCTCCCCAGCTCTCTGCCCATCGCCTTTAGCCTCTTCAGGTACGGCCCCTTCCTTGTTCCCTTCTGCCGCATCCCGCTCGCCGAGCCGGGCATCCGCTCGCTCCTCTCTGGACAGTGGCTCATCCTCCGACTCCTCAGCGGTGATCTGCACGAACAGACGGACAAACTGCAAAAACAGCCAGCACGGAGCTGCGCTCTACCCTCTCCTGTGCCCAGGGGACAGAATTCCCCAGGGATCTGATCTGTTCCACTCCCACCTGCAAAGGAAAGAGGGAAAAGTCGCAGCAGCGCAGGGCTCAGCTGCCCAACCGGCTTCTCCAGGACAACCCCTCATTTCATGC